CCGAAACGTCAGCCTCTCTGCTCCTATGATGCTGCTTGGCCTGCTGTGTTCATCCAGCCCTGCACCTTGTTATCTCGGATTCTCCAGCATCTGCAGTTCCTACTACCCCAGCTTGAAACCAACTCCACTTTTTTTGTTTATTTGGAACTGATTCATGGACAAATGTTGAAATAAAGAATTGATGCACTGAATTAAAAAAAAAAATCAGCCCTGTCCTATTTATTTTGCTCCTTCAGCTTATCTTTGTATAAATGTACTGTTCTGTATGAATATTACAAATGATGTGGATTTACCCTCAAAATCGTTGGCATACTTGTAAATTTTCTGCACATATAAAACTTCTGTCTGTTCCACTTGTGAACTCCACCACTGTGAAAGATGCAACTTGATCAGTGCCTAAATCTAGACAGGGATTACCTAACAGTCACTTGCTTCTTGTAATGAATGAAATGAACACGCACACCTCTTTTTTTTTTGCCTCTTGATGTGATATATGTTTGCAGCTTAGGTCCCATTTTTGTCCTAATTGGTACTATGGCAACGTCATTGCTCCTATGGAATTACCACATATGGCCTTTCAGTGCACAGTGTGATTACATCACCTTCTATGGTCAAACATTTTAACCTTGGTGGAGTTCAAGTAAATGTTTTGAAATAGAGTACACATGCTTGGTTATATGGAAATTCACAGAATCTTTTAAAATTGGGTATGTTGAACTATATGAACTTGTTGCAGCACTTTTGTTCATGAACTTTATTCATTTGCGTATGTTTTAACGTCAGTATGCCCCTTGCAAAATGCCAGAAAATTGCCAGACAATCCTTGATCAATAAGTAATCAATACTTTTCTGGCCAGCGTGCATAACTGAATCAGATGTTAGTGCAACATAAAGCAGCTGCATTTTTTTAATGAATGTTTGCCTCTGAATATAGTTTAGTTTTTTTTTAAGTGAGTTGAAAATCTTTAGCAAGCCTTAATTTGTGTGATGATATTAAATATGTAGATCTGTGTTCAAGTCCAGTGAGAAGAATGCAGAACACATGAGACTGCGTAGACAGGAAGGGCAGGAGAGGCCAATCTCTGCTATAAAAGTGACGTAAATGACTTTCAGTAATGTGATTCTCAGTCAGCCGGCATTTCAGCAGTGCCTCTGTGGTGGTTGACTGCTTGTAATTGTTTAATTTAACTTATTTATTTTATATATCTGAATTCATAAAGAATTATTTTTGGACAAACTAGATTCAGTATGTTATGTTTGTGTTTAACCGTGCCAGTCCTGGATAATTTGGAAAGGGAATTTGAATACTTTGAATCAGACCGGCTGCCTGCTAAGTTAAAATCTTTGTTCAGGCTTAGCCTTCTCATCCCTTCACAGGAGTTATCAACCTATCGCCAGTGGAGACAGGTAAATCCCAATGTTCTTGAAATGTTTCTTGTATGAGAATACTTTTATCATTTCAGGTGTTTTTAAGGATTTTAAGTGTTTTTTTTAGGAATACTGTGGTATTTGATGGCTGTTTGGTGGATACTTCCTTATAGTTCCACATGTTCCACTTCTCGGCAATTTCGGCTGCCTTCTGAATGAGTCACTGTGGAGTGGGACAGACTAAAACCTTCCTGCCTACAAGTTCCTGTTTAACAATATTAGTTAGTCCAGTTACTGAAAACTGAACTGACAATATCACAGCAAAGAGACTTTCACCTGTCTGTCCCCACAGGGGCACAATTCAAATGAGAATTCTTGAGTGGGTCATTGGTCTTCCAACTTACAATGCATGGTGCAATGCATTATTCAATTCTTGTGTTGTGTTTTCTCTTGTGGCTATGTTTCATTGTTACTGCTTTGCATATTTTATCAAGAAGTATTTTGTGGTCAAAGTGATGCTCAAAATTTAAAAAAAATTAAAATATAAATATTGAGAGAGGGCAGTAGGTCTCCCACAGAAAGTCACCTTTATGATGGAACCTTGCCTCAACGGAACTGTAGCATCTGTGAAAAACTTCCAAAATATCAATCACAGAAAAGTTCTGAGTGGCCAAAAGATAAGAATTTGTATTGCTCTTGCCTTAAGGGAGTTCCTATTAGATTATCATCTTTGGATAAGATGTTTTAATAAATGATTAGGATCTTTAATTTTTGGCACATTAAGGTACGTAAGTGATCCTAAAAGTATGTAAATGCTTTCCTGTGTATGTGACAGCCCAGACGACTTAGGATTCCAAGTAACGTGAAAGATTCTATCAATTAGGTAATACATAGGTTTGTTCTCAATGCTTCAATTGTTTTTCACTGCATCAATGCTACAGTTTACAGGGCTTTTTTTTTGATACTGCTGGTAGATATTGGCAGTTTTGCCAATTACTAACTTGATGAGAAACAATTTAGAGAAACGGTCTTCTCTTTCCAGTGTTCCATGCTGTTTCCTGACCAAGAAAAGCAAGCAGCCCTTACAGAGTATGTCTCATGCTCCAATGCAATGTTTGGAATTTGTGCTCAGCATGTTGCCTGAGTGGTTTTAAAGTTTGCAGTGCGAACAAAATGGAGAATTCCTTTTTGCTAACCCCATTGCACACTGAATGTAAGACTATACACAATTTTGGAGTCCTTGGACACTAAACTACCTTCCGTATTAATGTCTTCATGTATCTAAACCAGTTTGTAAATGTGTACCTGCCTTGAAATAAGGAACTACAAAAACTATAAATCTCACACCTGAACCATGCCTCAGTTAGTGGAGTCGTTTGGATTGCTGAGTGCTGATGAGACCGATCTGCTTACCATCAGTTGACATTGAATTTTGGTCCGTGAGGAACTTGATCCTCCAACTCAAAATTTATTGGACATTGACCTTTGGTGTTGGGTGCGGGTGTAATCTCAACCCTAACTATTTAAGTCATGCTCCAAAGTACATCTTGATAAACTGTATTCAGTGGTGAGAAGGAAATAAAAGCTATGCTATGAATCTTGAATTTTTACAGCAGAGAAGGAGGCTGTTTAGCTTATACTAGTCAATTGTGGATGAACCATTAAGCTAATCTTATGCTTATTGTTCCATTGTCATACTCAGCAAACATGTATAGTGTTGTGATGAAACCTAAACCTTAGCACTTTAGTGCCTTCCTTTTAAGTAAAACGTGATATGTTGCAGAAGATGTGTGTATAAATGGTTTGGATATGAGGTGATTTCATTAATGGTGAAATTAGCAATGTTGGGAAAGGGCAACTTGTTACATTTTATATTTTTTAGAAAACACATTACTCAGACAGAATGTTAACACTTTTTATTTTGGATTATAACCTCAAGCTTCTTCAATGCAAATAATTTTCAGATATAGGTAGAATTTGCAATGACAGAAGATACTATATATCTTTACAGTCTATTATTTTCATAGCTAGAATGATGGACCAGTACTTTTAATTTATCCAAGCTAGAATGATGGACCAGTACTTTTAATTTATCCAAGTTGTCATGGCAAATTACGGGAAAGCCTGTAATATGGATTATGTTTAGTCTCCAGTAAAAGGGAAATCTGCCATACCTCAGAAGCCTGAAACCAATCTGAATAAGGATACAGGACAAAATTATGAATGGTTACATAAATCCATTTTATATCTTATTTTCTTATAAAAAGGACTGCATTTAATCTTAAAAGGTGTCCTAAAATGGCAAAAACATAGACTTTGATCTTCACCTTTCAAGATTGAATTGCCCACCCAAAAAAGGCATGACGGTATTTTGGGTTTTTTTTTCTTGAACCATGTGAACCAAGTATCACATTTTTCTATTGTCTGTTAAAATAAAATGTTTATTTCATTTTTTTAAAAACAGAAAGTTGTAAAAGCTGGTGACAAAGACTGCGATGGCCAACTAGATTTTGAAGAATTTGTTCATTATTTAAAAGATCATGAGAAGAAACTCCGACTGGTTTTCAAAAGCCTAGACAAAAAAAATGATGGTAAGAACTCCTGTTGTTTACTTTCCAATGTGTACAGTTTGTAGTAATCAAATAATACATAAATTTAAACGAATTCCAAATTCTACCTTAAATCCGAAACACGAAAGTGTAGTATTGTCATGTGCGGCTTATAGCATAATGCAGGTGTCTTTATTGTCCAGTAAGAAGTATAATTGAAGATTTTGTTATATATTAAGAGTTCTTGGGTTTTTTTTTTCAGGTAAAATTGATGCACAAGAAATCATGCAGTCATTGCATGACCTTGGAGTGCATATTTCAGAGCAGCAAGCAGAAAAGATCCTGAAACGGTGAGTCATGTCACTGGGATAATGAATATTCAATTTTTTTCAGTCAGTTTGGCTTACGAACTTGACTTTATGCTTACCCGTGCATTTAAAAATGGAACTTTGTAAATTTTACAATCAAACTTGTAAGCCTTCGCTTAAGGTAGCTGGTACTCAAATGCAAAGCACTACTGCACAACCTTCAGTTGACTTTTATTTTGTAATATCTCCAACCTCTTACTCCAGAATACCTTTGGCCTTGTAATTATGCTGTAGCATACCAATGCACAAATGCTGATGCATTAATTTTAAATGGCATTCTAAAAAAAAGTATCATTTATTGTGTCCTCTCTTAAAAATCTTTTGACAAGATCAACATGTCAGTGAATGCGCTGAACTCCACTTTGCTGCTCACTCTGTCCCTTAGTGTAATGGAAATGTCTGTAATACTAATTGTTTGCCCAAAACCAATTCCTGGTCATTTATTCCTGAGATTATACTTTGCAGAATATCTATGAGCTTCTAGTTTAATGAATTCCTACAATGACTTGTGAGAAAACTGTCTCGTAGCTCTGCAGAAACAAGTTGCCCCACCGTACAGGTGATATTGGGGGAGGTGACAAAATAATATCAAAAACTAAATTGCTTTTCTTTTTTGTAAAAGAATATCAGTTTTAGTTTTTCCTAGGGATGGTGATGGGGATGAGGTAGTGCAGTGAAGTAATTGTTCAATGCTTTATTTTTAAATGTGCAAAATGCTTTATCTGTGCTGTTTTCTGCATCTTTTGCTTTCTGTCCTCAGAATTTGGAGAGGGCACCTCTGGGGCCCTATTGTATAGTAAGTACCCCTGTATGCCTGTCTGCTTTGTCTATTTTCCTCTCCTTCATAGAAATTGACCTAAGCACATTTTATTTCCATCTTGTTACAGCTTCACCCTTCCCTGATTTGTAAAATGAATTTGAATAACTGCCCCTGCACAACTCATGATCCTATAATGCTACTCAGTTACATGCTGATAAACCTTCCCCTCCTATTCCTGCAACAGTAGCTTATAATACACTATTTTAGCATTTTAAAATGTTGAATTTATGTAGATCATAACAATTCCATTAAATGGTGGAGTTTTAAACACAGCCACAATTTTAATTTTTTTTGTCTTGTTCTGCTTTTTTAATAGCATGGATAAAAATGGAACAATGACGATTGACTGGAATGAGTGGCGAGATTATCATCTTTTACATCCAGCAGACAACATTCCTGAAATAATCCTATACTGGAAGCACTCTACAGTAAGTCCAGAACATAATCTACTGAAAATGATTGACTACCTATGCATAACTAGCTATGGCTTAACATTTTTTCAGCTCACCCCTACCCAGTGTCATCTTGACTCCTGCATGTGTGCTTCAAATGAGCATGGCATTAGTCTATAATAAAACTTCACCAGGTAATCAGAGGTAGAATAACAAATACTTGACATGTCCATTCATGCTAACTCCATTCTTGGTTATAAGTTGTTACATCACCTTCACAGAACAGAAACTTATCCGCTGTGAATTTCATATTCCGAAATGATATTCTTGTGCTTTTGGAATTATGTAAAACCTTTATAAATCGTGTGATTAAAGATCTCATTTAGATGATTCACAAAGATGATCCAGGGAGGATATTGAGCCTTAGATACAAAGAAGTGTTTAAAGAAATTTGGTGTTGTTCATTGGAACAAAGATAATTAAGAGATGTGATAGAGATCATTAATTTTTTTGAGGTAAAAAGGGATTTTTTTTTCCAGTGATCAGTAATTTGATTAACTAGTCTGATTTTGAAGAGCAAAGGTATGACAAGTGTGTGATTCAGTTTATATGCTGAAGCATGTTAAGAGGAATGTCCCTGTGACAATGTTAGTGGAAGAAGAATCTTTAATAGAATATAACAGGGCTTCCCAAGGTAGGTTTGGGATCTCCAGTTGTGTTGCAGGCTCTGAGGTAGCAATGGCTGCGATGGAGTTCCCCTGCTCTTGCTGTCATCGATTTCCCCAATACAATTCTCACTTTCACCATGGAATCAGAACAGTTTTTATGCTTTAAATGGGGCCACAGCGGGAAAAAGTTTGGACAGCACTAGATTATAATGTGAAAATAATTGATTTGAAAAAGAAAATGTATGGGCCAAAGGCAAGTGACGAGAATGAAGCCAATAGGTATTTCAGAGAGCCAGCGCAGGTGCAATGGACTTATTGCTTTCTCTAACCTTGTATTTCAAGCTCTTGTGTAAATCAGTTGAACTTCTCTCTCTCAGACCAAGTAACTTAAACAGTATAGGCAGATTGTTCTGGATTTTCATTGGAATGAGTTGGTAATTCATTGAAATCATTAACTTTGAGTTTAGATTGATTTCTTTTGAGTTCATGAGCCTGATACTTGGCAACATGTCAATGTCAGATGTCACAATTTGACATTCTCATTTCTTTGCAACATGTTTGCATGTATGGTTGACCCCTATTGCTGTCAAAAGGAAGATAACTATTGACTTGTATAAATTGGCATAATGCAGGTTAGGTGGATTGGCCATGCTAAAATTGCCCGTAGTGTTTCAGGGATGTGCAGCTTAGGTGGGTTATAGGGGAATGGTTCTGGGTGGGATGCTCCAAGGGTCAGTGTGGACTTGTTGGGCTGAAGGGCCTAATTCCACATTGCAGGGATTCTATGACAATAATGCCTTAGCAATACTATCACAAGTTAAAAGGTAATTTTGGAAAAATCTATACTTATGTTTGTGGGGGAAAAAAGTAAATGGATCCTGGAATCCAGTGCTTCATGGAATTATTTTTATGAATGATTTCAAACTTGATTTTGATTTTGTGTATTCCGAATTATCTTTTGTTTGGAACAGAATTGGTTATTTCAGGTGTTTGTTGTCACTGAACTTGAGTGTGGATTTGATTCAATAAGGGGTGGGTTATCTGTAGAACGCAAGTTTTTATGAAAATAGAACTTTTGAGCATCTTTAAAGTGCTCAATTATGTTACAAGAAAATTGGGATCCAAGCATTGTCCATTGAAGTACGAAAGAATCAGATTAATTACTCATGAAGGAACCATTTCCATTGCTCAGCAGTTGAATTGAGCAACATCTGAATTTAGCTAACCTTTGGACTTAGAACATGAATTTATAGTTCGTATCAGAAAACTTTTGAGACCATTTTGCTTCATTTTCCTTTAAGTACAGCTATCTTGAGACAGTAAATGTAATTGTTCATTTTGGTGAAGATATCTCCATTACCTCAACTGAAAAAGATTGTTACGTTACTTGCTACTGTGGTTATATATGGGCTATTTTGTTAGAAGTGCTTAGCTCTAGGAAGTTAAAAGCCTCAAAAACAAACATAGAAATTGCTGGAAAAGCTCCGCAGGCCTGGTATCACGTGGAGAGAAAGCAGAGATAACGTTTCGGGTCAAGTGACCCTTTCTCAGGACCTGCTGAGCTTTTCCAGCAATTTCTATTTTTCTTTGATTTACAGCATCCAGAGTTCTTTTGGTTTTTTAGTTAAAAAGCCTCCTCACCTTGTGTTTCAGATCTTTGATGTAGGTGAGAGTTTGACAATCCCAGATGAGTTCACAGAGGAAGAAAAGCAAACCGGGATGTGGTGGCGGCAGTTGGTGGCAGGGGGAGGTGCGGGTGCTGTGTCCAGAACATGCACTGCTCCCCTTGACCGGCTGAAGGTGCTGATGCAAGTGAGTTTCCCATTTTGTTGTAAATGTCAGCAATATTTAATTAAAAATACCCGTGTCACTGGATCAGAAGCCTTTTGTTACCTCACTGCTGGCTCTTTGTGTGTTTAGTTTTGTGTGCAGTATCAACTGATGAATTTGTGCCCTCTCTGTCGCACTCTGTCACGCACATGCTCTCTCTCTCTCTCACGCACATGCACTCTCTCTCTCACGCACACACACTCCTGCATAGACACTGAGCATTTGGATCATTCAGGAACAGGACAATCTTTTATTGACTTTTTTTTCTCTTTCACACTCTTCCCACCTTGAGTGCACTTGATCTTGTGGTGTTCCCAACACCCACAAAATGTTAGTGTGTATGTGTGTTTGAGAACCTCAATAGCTGTGTGTCGGTAGACAGTTTGATCTCACAGCGTAAACCTGCTAAGGCTCCTGAGTAGTAACTGGGACTAGGAAGCAGGGCTGATGGATTTTCTGATCCCTATCCCTGAAGCACTGAAGTCAGTTGCTCTATCCTTGTCATGCTGGATGAGATCAACTAACTTAGCAAAAACAAGCCAGCTGCAGGAGAAATTGAAGAGTAAACCCTTAGTTTACCTGGATTACCTGCCTCAACAGTCAGACCAATAAGAAATATGGCTGTGACTGCAAGAAATGTAGTGTCAATATACATAACCCTTAGTGAGTTTGTGACTTGTGTGTTTTATGCCAAGTCGATTTAATTTTAGGGCCTGAGCACCTTGTCCCGTGTACTTACCCCTGATCCCACACCCCAAGACTTGTCATCACATGAGCTGCTACCACAACCCACTGTCAGCCACTGATGGTGCCAGTTTTTTATCCAGACTGACCTTTACAAATGCTTTATCTGGCCAACTGTCCACCTATTATTTACTCTCTTTCCTTTTTCTTCTTCCGCCTCCACTTCCCAACTTCAAGCATATATGCCGACCTTTTCCTAGCTACAGTCAGTTCTGAAGAACCATCACCTGACCTGATATGTTAACTCTGCTTTTTGTCCATGGATACTGCCAGACCTGCTGAGTTTTCCAAGCTGTTTCTGTTTTTGTTTCTGATTTCCAGCATCTGCAGTTCTTCGGAGTTTCTTTTTTTTGGATTAATTTAAATGTTGATGCTTATGGACATGACCACATCATCCGTTGTTTACCTGCTTTTAAAAATGAAAGGAAACATTTGATTCAAAGGAAATAAAAAAGTAAATTTTATTGCAGTTTTTGCCATCTTGAATAGCACTCTAGAGGCTTTCTTTCCCTAAATGAATTATACCTTCGCCTGCAGGATTTGAAGCAAAGAACTATGTCACATTGTTCAGAATTCACAAATCCATCTACCTCACTCAGGCATAAATAAATGGGTGGAATTCATTTTGATTTGGCTTCGTAATAGCCTTTCTGCTTTGCTGTGTTAACTCTTGAGCAGGGTGCTGAGCTCTGACTAATGGCCTAAATATTGCTCTGGAAACAAGGCTAGAGTAATATGGCTTTAATTTTAAGAAAATTGTGGTTGACTTGGCATTCTTCTGTCAATAATAAAGTAAGTTTAACTTGATTGCCTAACTTGTAAGGGATTCTTGGAATAAATGATTGCACAACTGATAAATATTCCGATCAGTAGTCTGTTCTTTTGTAACAGTCCACCTCAGTTATGTGCTTTCTCCATCAAAATTTAATTGTTAGTAAATGACTGAAAGGTTGAACATTGGAACAAAGTTAATTTTATACCAATTTGTTATGCTTCTGGAAACAGAGCCTTATTTAAAATGTTCATATGCTCTGTACAGCATTTACCTTGGCACTAAGGTCTTGCTGCATCTCTAGCATATTTACATAAGTGATTTTTCTATATATTTAAAGCATTGATTCCTGTTACAAAAGAAATCAACAGAGAATAAAATGCTCTTCAGCTCTCTCAAAACACTGATTCTTTGCAGTATCACTTTTTATTTAACTAAAGTAGAACTGGAGCCACAGGCATATGATGTCAAACAAACTGTTACTTGGTGCATTAGTTTGTTTAGCAAAATTTACTTAGCTAAAGGTTCAAAGCCCTTGGATGAATATTGATATGTTTCTGGCGAATTGTCCTTTAGAAAGCCATTTAGTTCCTTTTTGGTCCTATTGTCTTAGACTTTCAGTGGGGGCACATGATAGATATCTGTTGGGACCCTGGCTCTTTGTTCCATTGTCTGCAACTGGGGTGTTGAGATTATTGGAAAAGCTTCTTTTAGCATGGGCTGGAGAATCAAATTTCACACCCTTCTTGGTCTGTACAGTGATCACACTTGATCAACTTCATGAATGGAGGAGCTGTGTTGAATTAAGATTGAGCTTTTTTAGGAATTGTGGTTATTACAAGATTAGCAGTACTAATGTAATTGCTTGATTATGTGTTGGGGCAAAACAGGAGTGCTTTTCAATTATTTGCTGTTCATTTTATCCATGGCATTGAATCTTTAAAGCATACACAAAGCAAATTCAAATTCTTGCACTTTGTTTCTAATAGTCATAGCATATACACAGTTACATGGAACATGGTAACTGATAAGTTGCAATAATGTTTCAGAGATAGTAGGAACTGTAGATGCTGGAGAATCTGAGATAACAAGGTGTAGAGCTGGATGAACACAGCAGGCCAAGCAGCATCAGAGGAGCAGGAAAGCTGACGTTTCGGGCCTAGACCCTTCTTCAGAAATGGGGGAGGGGAAGGGGGTTCTGAAATAAATAGGGAGAGAGGGGGAGGCGGATGGAAGATGGATAGAGGAGAAGATAGGTGGGGAGGAGACAGACAGGTCAAAGAGGCAGGGATGGAGCCAGTAAAGGTGAGTGTAGGGGGCGAGGTAGGGAGGAGATAGGTCAGTCCAGGGAGGACGTACAGGTTAAGGGGGTGGGATGAGGTTAGTAGGTAGGAGAGGGGGGTGGGGCTTGAGGTGGGAGGAGGGGATAGGTGGGAGGAAGGACCGGTTAGGGAGGCGGGGACGAGCTGGGCTGGTTTTGGGATGCGATAGGGGGAGGGGAGATTTTGAAGCTTGTGAAGTCCACATTGATACCATTGGGCTGCAGGGTTCCCAAGTGGAATAGGAGTTGCTGTTCCTGCAACCTTCGGGTGGCATCGTTGTGGCACTGCAGGAGGCCCAGGATGTACATGTCGTCTGCGGAATGGGAGAGGGAGTTGAAATGGTTCGCGACTGGGAGGTGCAGTTGTTTAGCACGAAGCGAGCGTAGGTGTTCTGCAAAGTGGTCCCCAAGCCTCCGCTTGGTTTCCCCAATGTAGAGGAAGCCACAATGGGAACAGCGGATGCAGTATACCACATTAGCAGATGTGCAGGTGAACATCTGCTTGATGTGGAAAGTCTTCTTGGGGCCTGGTTTGGGGGTGAGGGGGGAGGTGTAGGGGCAGGTGTAGCACTTCCTATGGTTGCAGAGAAAAGTGCCGGGTGAGGTGGGGCTGAAGGGGCGTGTGGAGGTCAGTGGAGGGGGACTCGTCGGGCCTGCGGGACAGGAAGAAGCGGAGAGCCTTTAGGCCATCTGTATGGGGAATGCACCCTCAACAACTTCTCTTTCAATTCCTCCCACTTCCTACAGACAAAGGGGATGCCCATGGGTACCCGCATGGGCCCAAGCTATGCCTGCCTCTTTGTAGGTTAGGTGGAACAATCCCTCTTCCGTACCTACACTGGCCCTAAACCCCACCTCTTCCTCCGTTACATTGATGACTGTATCAGCGCTGCCTCGTGCTCCCACAAGGAGCTTGAATAGTTCATCCACTTCACCAACACCTTCCACCCCAACCTTAAGTTCACCGGGACTATCTCTAATACCTCTCTCTCCTTCCTGGACCTCTGTCTCCATCTCTGGCAACCACCTAGAAACCGATATCCATTTCAAGCCCACCGACTCCTACAGCTACCTAGAATACACCTCCTCCCACCCATCTTCCTGCAAAAATGCCATCCCCTATTCCCAATTCCTTTGCCTCTGCCACATCTGCTCCCAGGATGAGGCATTCCACTCCCGTACATCTCAGATGTCTTCGTTTTTCAAGGACCGCAACTTCCCCCCCTCAGTGGTCGAGAACGCCCTCGACCGTGTCTCCCGCATTTCCCGCAACTCATCCCTCACACCCCCTCCCCGCAATAACAACCAAAACAGAATCCCCCTCGTCCCCACTAACCTCCGGATCCAACGCATCATCTGCAATCCGACCCCACCACCAAAGACATTTTTCCCTCCCCACCCTTATCTGCTTTCCGGAGGGACCACTCTCTCCCTGACTCCCTTGTCCGCTCCACACTCCCCTCCAGCCCCACCTCACCCGGCACTTTTCCCTGCAACCGCAGGAGTGCTACACCTGCCCCTACACCTCCCTCCTCACCCCCATCCCAGGCCCCAAGAAGACTTTCCACATCAAGCGGATGTTCACCTGCACATCTGCTAATGTGGTATACTGCATCCGCTGTTCCCGTTGTGGCCTCCACTACATCGGGGAATCCAAGCGGAGGCTTGGGAACGACTTTGCAGAAACCTACGCTCAGTTCGCACTAAACAACTGCACCTCTCAGTCGCGAACCATTTCAACTCCCCCTTCTATTCCGCAGACAACATGTCCATCCTGGGCCTCTTGCAGTGCCACAACGATGCCACCCGAAGGTTGCAGGAACAGCAACTCCTATTCCACTTGGGAACCCTGCAGCCCAATGGTATCAATGTGGACTTCACAAGCTTCAAAATCTCCCCTCCCCCTACCGCATCCCAAAACCAGCCCAGCTCGTCCCCACCTCCCTAACCGGTCCTTCCTCCCACCTATCCCCTCCTCCCACCTCAAGCCGCACCCCCATCTCCTACCTACTAACCTCATCCCGCCCCCTTGACCTTTCCGTCCTCCCTGGACTGACCTATCTCCTCCCTACCTCCCCACCTACACTCACCTTTACTGGCTGCATCCCCGCCTCTTTGACCTGGCTGTCTCCTCTCCACCTATCTTCTCCTCTATCCATCTTCTATCCGCCTCCCCCTCTCTCCCTATTTATTTCAGAACCCCCTTCCCCTCCCCCATTTCTGAAGAAGGGTCTAGGCCCGAAATGTCAGCCTTCCTGCTCCTCTGATGCTACTTGGCCTGCTGTGTTCATCCAGCTCTACACCTTGTTATCTCAGTTGCAATAATGATTGTGTTCTTACTGAACAGGTTCATGCTTCCAAATCAAACAATATGTGCATCGCAGGAGGATTTAGCCATATGATTAAAGAAGGAGGATTGCGATCTTTGTGGAGAGGAAATGGAATCAATGCGATCAAAATTGCACCAGAGTCTGCTCTCAAATTCATGGCATATGAACAGGTGAGAGAATGGTGCACATAGCAGGGATCATGATCATAACCTCGGCTTCAGACAAAAGTGAAATCACCAATAGTTTTACTGACTTCATTTTTTGACTTATTGTAATAAAATGTAATCCTAATAATTGGTGATCCATTCAGACTGATGAGAAACATTAGAACAAAAATGTTGACAATGAGGAAATTTTAGTAAGCATTAACTGTCTGATATACAGTTCAATATGGCCATTACTTTAATTGCGAATGTTCTTTTGCAGATAAAAAGACTAATTGGTAGTGACCAGCAGCCGTTAGGAATTCAGGAGAGATTGATTGCAGGATCATTAGCTGGACTAATTGCACAGAGTACAATCTATCCAATGGAGGTAATGTAGTTTAATTTGGAGTTTAAATTGCTACAGAGATTATCACTACTTTCATATTTAAAAATGAACACTTAGTTGTGCTTCTGGCTATAACTCTGAGTATTGCTCATTTCAGGTATTAAAAACAAGATTGGCATTGCGGAAAACCGGACAGTATTCAGGAATGCTTGATTGTGCAAAACACGTATTTAAGAAAGAGGGGATTAGAGCATTCTACAAAGGCTATGTTCCCAATATGCTGGGCATCATCCCCTACGCTGGAATAGACCTGGCTATTTATGAGGTGAGTTTTTCAACTTGCAGAACTAAAAATCAGCTATTTACAGCTCTTGGTTTGTTGACTCTGTTTTCGGTTTTGTTGTCTGCTATAAGGCAGCTTTTGCCGTGCATTGTGCAGTTCGTACTCCTTTTAGTTGTGTATTTATGTTCAGTTGATCAGAACCGTTTTTGTTTCTCCGTAGACTTTGAAGAATTCCTGGTTGCAGCGCTATGCCACTGACAGTGTGGATCCTGGGGTCTTTGTTCTCTTAGCTTGTGGCACTGTTTCGAGCACCTGTGGACAGCTAGCTAGTTACCCATTAGCACTTGTCAGGACACGAATGCAGGCGCAAGGTAACTATTGTGCACTTTTAATTTTCCTCAAACAGTTGGGAGAAATTTACTTCCTCATTAGTAAGGCAGTTACCCTCAACACTGATCAATTAATAAACTGTTTGTCATTTGGAAACCCTCTTGTAGGGCTGAACGTTGAACTGTGTTCAGTCCATAAAGTCTGAATCTGGTTTACTGCATGCAGCGACGATTGGGCGTGCATTTCTTTAATCTGTTCCCAAGAGGTGACTTTGTAATTCTGCAAGAATGTGGATTTACTAAATGTCATTGTAAGTCACCTATGAACTAAACCAAACTTAGTTCTTAATTTGAGTTGCAGTTTCTTCTTTCTTACCTTTTGTTCTGAAGATAAAGACTTTTGATGGGGCACATATATAAAAATTGCAGCAGACCTGTTGCACTCTTACAAGTTACTATTCTCGTAGGAGCCTATTGAACGAATGTTTGTATTTGTAGCCAAGTCTAATTCTATCCTCATGCACAGAGGTAGAGAGAGCCAGCCAGAGTTCACAACTCTAGTAGTACTGATCTCTGGGAGCTGGAGGCTAATATTTTACTGCGAACTGCTGTTCCAGCTGACACAAGACCGTTCTGCTCAGAATAGGGTTTGCCTCTGGGATCTGCCCTGTTTTTTAGCTGAAAACCCAGTGTGTTTACCTAATTGGCAACAGGCGGAGACTAGGCAAGGTTTTTATTGGTATTTCTAGTATCAATGCATTAATATAAAGGTGGGAGATGTTTCATAGTGTTAGCTTTGAGGTTTAACTAATGAACAGCTACTTTTTGATTAGTTGTGTTTATGTTTCTGCAATTAATTTAATGCAGATATTTGCCTCAAATAAATAAATATCCATTTATTTTCCTTTTACTTTACAGCTACCGCTGAGGGAGCACCTCAGCCTACAATGCTTGGACTCTTCAGGCACATTCTGAGCACAGAAGGAGCAATTGGACTATACCGTGGCTTAGCACCAAATTTCATGAAAGTTATTCCAGCTGTGAGCATTAGCTACGTGGTGTATGAAAACCTGAAAATGACACTTGGAGTCACATCGCGATGAAACTCCAAAGGGACTTGAAGTTGATTAATCTTGGGTGATCATCCTGGGGTTTTAACCATCTCATTCTGTGAATGTCATAAAACACTAGTTAAGTAAGGACACCACTGGGGAAGAAGGTTAAAGGGCCCATTTCCCTGACACATTGTCAGCAGGTTTATTTTCTGATCAGCCTTTAATTTTGACAGAAGTTGAAAAATGCAGCCTGGGTCCTTGTTGGAGCTGATTTGTGTACAACTATCCCTACTGCAGCTGTCATCAGCCATTCAAATTGCCACTTGAAGCATTTTAAATGTTACATGACGCTGTATTACAAATACCCATGTGAAAAATACTCTCTTGCAACCATGTGAAATTCTTCATCTGCTGATTTTTAATAGTAGTGCTGCCCTAAATTTTAAAATTTAGTGCTGATTGGGTTGGTGCTGAGGTTAAAACAGCAAATAGAATATCATAGGAATGCATTGAAGTGTTAACCAATTAGCGTCACTGATCATCTTTGCTATTGAGGGAGAAAGAAAAGGTCAAGAATTAAACCTTTTTTTAATGAACAGGTTTGGGTCTGTGAAGAATTAGAATTTCTGCAATCAAATGTAATGTGGCTGTGGATTTCCCCTCTGATTTGTAACTTGACCTGCATAACTGGAAAGCTCCAGAAAGGATTCTGGTTTCCATTTTTTTAAATTCTGGAGACAAAAGTATTTTCATTCTTTTGTCACATTTGCACATTTCCTGAGTTTCATTACCAGCTGAGTTAATTTTATCATGGTATCTGGTTTTATCATGCACTTCAGAGGTAAGCTGGATATTTGTTATTTATTGTTTACAAGTTTGCAAAAGGCTTATAATCTGATAGTGGACACTTAATCACCTGGTGAAGGAACCAAATATTAGTTCCGTGTAAGGTTATGTTAGACTATCATGAGTGAAGTTAAACCCACCCTTTGCAGTTTCTTTTAAATCTCCTTCACTTTGTGCTGCGTGGGTCATCCGTCTTATGGAAATCTTAAATAATTGTCTCACATTTAGAAAGGGGGTTAAATTATTTATTTTTATACGCCTTGCTGTGCTAACCAGATATTTATTAATAAATGTGACTTAAATGAGGGCAGATTGTGTTGCTGTCTTTTGCATGTCCTATAATTTAACAGTTCACTTTGTATGGGTTTTAAATCCTCTTGAGCCCTTTCTAATGTGTGGAGGCATTGATTAACGTTATCAGTCATTTTGACTTTTTTTGTTAATTCCAGATTCTCTTTTTTTTGTTTTGGTTTGAATGAGCAATGAAAGGAATGAAAGCATGTATACAACACAGGCCAATT